TATCTACTGTGTAATTTTAGATATGTGTAATTACCTTTACTACCTTTATAGTCATGTGTCATTATTATAGTTTATTATACTGCGTATCTCATGAAATACCTAGAAAATGGGAGAATCTCATCATTGCTTTTGTGTTAACGATATCTGTAACTATTGCTTAAACCGTATCTCCAAACAGATGACATTCTCACGGTAGTGTCAATCATGTTTTTGTACGTCTTCCATCCTTTATATCTTGCCAGAAGAATAGAGCAGGTGGTGACAAACACTCTCTCTCATGTCGCATCCAGACTGAATGAATAAATGAATGGATTATGAAATTAGAGGCATACCTGCCACCATGAGGAGCTGCCGCATGAGCAGCATAAACGGTCGCTTATGCACCCTAAATTCCCTAAGTCTCAAGTTCCGGGCTTGTATAATAGCAAATTTGGGTATAGTCTAGAGTCCCAGCTCCTTAACATTCTGGGGATCCAAAGTGATGGACCCCAGTGTAATCTGCCTGTAGTAGCTCAAAACCTCACAGCGACTCAGAACATGCGCCGAGGACTCTTCCTCTGCCTCGCAGCTCTCACACTTGGGATCCTCAGCTGCCTCCATCACATGCAGTTGGCGCGTCACCCTGTTATGACCAGGCAACATTCCCACCAATAACCTTAGGTTGGCTCTATCCAAAGATAAACAAAAGCGCCCGTCCTTAACACTGAGCCCTACGATGACCTTTCTTACCTGACAGAGATGTCTGGAGGTGCTTCTCCATTGTCCTACTGACTCTGTGTGTGGGCACACCCCTAGGGCTGGCTCAGGACCAGCATGCTTGGTCGATGATCCTGCATTCAACATATCATTGCTCTCTATCCCAGCGTGCCTCGGTTCCTACACTAACAATACCGGCTTCCTCGCTGCTAGACTATCCAGAGCCTCCCTGCATTGCAATACAAGGTAATTTTGCAGGCGTTCCTTCATCGCAGCCTGGCTGCCGGAGAAGATTGTTATTATTCTCCTTCCTCCTCCAAAATGCGGTATACGGAAGCCACAATCGCATAGATTTCCGATTGGAAAATAGCGATATATCCGCCGAGAGACTATTTCTAGGCCTAAGACTCCGGCGCCAAAGCCCCTTCAGTGACCGAGCCGTCCATGTGCCAGACCTGTCCACTCCCTTCAGAGTCCTTCCGGCTTCCGGAGTTCCACTCCGCCCTCGTCGGGTACTTTACATTAAACTTGCGCTTAAAGGATCCCTTTCCAGTTCGACTAAGATGGTAGTGTGACCCTTGATAGGATTCAAAAAGGCCCAGCTTCCCTGACTCCATAGTCGATGTGCCCTTGCCTCTCCGCAGATCTCTAGATCCAACGGAGGGAGATCCAGCACACCTCACTGTCATTGTCCGCTCTGCGTTTGTAATACTCGTACAAAACAAACGCAATTTTTTAGTTTCGCCTCTGATCCAATGCAAGGCCACCAAACCAGGAAGCCATACAAAAAAATGGACGCATATCGCATCCAAACTACAGATTCTAGACGCTTCTGCGACCCATGTGGATCTATTGTAAGTCAGTGTACTCATCTGTGATCTATTTAGCAGATTCCATAGCAATTTGCATGTAGCATCTTCGGATTGATGATCGCATATGTCTGAAACTTGGCAGGACTTTTTTCAGTGACAAAACAAGTGCACTGAGGTTTGCTCATGCTCTTACTAGCACTTCATATTTCGATTTAGATGTCACTGCCCTGTTGGGAAAGCTGCTATGGCCCTTACGTTCTTCCTATCGAATCTAAAAAGAAAATCCTCTGTTAGTGTGCTTCCGTTATTTCATGAACAGAATCACTCTAGGTGCTGTATGGCTAATACTTCAGCCCGAGATATTCTTTACATTTACATACAGGGTGGCGCATCGAAAACGAAACAGACGCATTTACTGAAAGCTCAGTTTTTTTTTTGAAAAACGCTCAGACCCGCCGATTTTATTTTCGAGGGAGTCACAAGTTTGGCAAAAAATCACGTTAACACGTGCATCCCCTGGGCGGGGGTGACACCAACCCTAAAATCTTAAATGGAAAGGGAGGTCGAGTGATACCTTATCTTAAAGGTCTTTCAATTCACTTTATAATGATGTAACATACATGAGCTTCAGTTCGGTAGTTTTGAAGATTTATTGATTTAAAGCTTAAAGTAGACTTTAATAGGTACATCAGATTAGTTTATACTACTTTCAGAAGAAATTTGACTAAAAGAATTTACTTAATAAGTAAATGCTTTTCTTCACTATATTCCAAAAATGAGGTTCATACACAGCAGCCACAAAAATTAAATGTTTGGGCTGGTATTTTTAGCGATCATTTAGTTGGTCCTTTTTTCTTACCTGGGAATTTGACCGGTGAAATGTATTTGGAGTTACTGGAAGACGCCATACATCCTGCATTAACAGCCATAATTGAAAATCAGAATGATCGGCGGTACATTGCGAATAGGTTGATGTTCCAACAGGATGGTGCCCCACCACATTACGCATTACGTGTTCGACAATATTTAGATCAGACATTTCTAGATCGATGGAATGGCCACCAAGATCGTCAGATTTATCACCTTTGGATTTCTTTATGTGGGGTCATTTAAAAAGCAAAATCTATGCTGCCAACATCATTAGAAGACCTGCGACAAAGAATTGTGACTGAGTGCCTTCAAATTACTCCTCAAATATTGCAAAATGTGCGGCAACGTTTTGAACAAAATCTTTATTATTGCATGGAGAGTCATGGCCATTTCAACATTTGCTTGTCTAACGGGTCATTCATTCTTCATTTTTAAATTACTTTGCTGCCAAACTAATGATGATGTATTATTTTTATTTAAGCTTTACATCAATAAATCTTCAAAATTACTGAACTGAAGGACATTAATTTTATATCATTATAAAGGGAATTGAAAGACCTTTAGAATAAGGTATCACTCGACCCCCTTTTCCATTTAAGATAGTGGGGGTGGTGTCGCCCCGCATAGGGGGCTGCACGTGCTAACGTGATTTTTTGTCAAACTTGTGTCCCCCTCGAAAACAAAATCGACGGGTGTGAGCGTTTTTTTTTTAAACTGAGCTGCCAGTGTCTGTTTCGTTTTCGATGCGCCGCCCTGTATATTGCCTACTTAGAAGTAGATTATATTTCTGCTGAAGCCACAACGTAAAAGATTCAAAAGGAAATTTTCTTCCAAATGAGACAGCCCAAAGTGCAATCTATTACCAGAATCGACCACTGCGATGTTGAAACAGGCTGTCTGTATGAGCTGGTTTGCATTTGATAGCCTGATCACCACTGTGACTGCTAGATGCTGCCGATTCTGGTGGTATAGCAGATACGGACTACCCGCCATTGAACAAACTAGTCCGACCACACCCAGCTAACCATGAGCTGTTTCGCGCTTTTTTGGCAACTCATCAGCATGATTTAGGCTTTGTATCAATTCGGGCGTAGCACAACTATCCTCTGTCGAGGACAAAATAACACAACTCAAAGTGATATCTATTACCGGAATCGACCAGTGGATAGGGGATAGTTGCTCAGCCTTCTTTCGTTGTTCTACCTTAGATCTACCTAGATCATGCTGATGAGTTGTCAAAAGCCACGAAGCAGCTTTCCATAGTTGGCCGTCTGTGTTCGGACAGACAAAAGCTATATTACTGAAAATTTTCTTGTTTGTTCAGGTGGAGTTTTCAAAATGTTCATTTTTTTTCATCATGGAACACTACAAATATAATTGTATGACCATTTTGATCTAATGCAATATCATTAAACTCTAGTTGCAACGTTTTGAAGTCTGGTTTCGAGACAACACATCCAAAAAGAAAAAACTAATTATTAAAATGAGATGAGCACCAATCAAGGGAATTCAAAACTAAACTGTTATGCCGCAAAAAGTATCTGGAATAGACGACCTCGAGAGTTCTTACAAATCGTGGAAGATATTTTTGATACTGTCAATCTCATCACAAATTTCATATGTTTTCAGCAATATACGTATACTATTTATTGTTGAATTCTCTTGGATGATCTTCTCCGTCATAAGAAACAGCAATGCACAGGTCACACTTTAAATATTGTCAGAAAATGTTAAGCACATGCGTTTAGCGACAGTTAAATGGAAAACAGCATGTTTGAAAGCGATGGAATATAAAAGTTTTGAAAGGGAGGGGGGTATTCCTATTGACCAATATTTTGGTTTACACCCTGTGTATTGTTGTTTCTTAGTATATAACGGTTTTTACTCTATTTTTGAATTGGTTGCATCGACAGGAGACCGAAAATGTTATACAATTATGTATGTAGTGTCTCCTGATGAAGAAAAAGCTCGATCCGAATAAATAACAAAATTTCTTTCTGGCATGAATTTCTTTGCATTGTGGCTGCAATCTCAAGATCTTCGTACTTGTATCTTAACTAGTCAGCTCTCTAGAAATAAGGGGTATTACGTTTTGCCATACTTACTTATGAATCGTGATACCTTGGTGTTCAAGCTTCTGCCTTTGTGCTGTTTTAGCTTAAAAAAAATATGGTAGGTAGTTTAAAAAAACCTCTTGAAGATGGTTGTGATAAGGAACACTAAAATGTATGTGCCAGTGTGCTATCAAGATAAGTTTATCGATAATTAACTTCAGATAACGACAAAATAGATTCTGTAATACTATAGCTTACATTGCTGGAAAGCCATAGGCCAATAGCTCAACTGATGTAGCAAACAGGCCTATTTGGCAATTTTTATACATTTCTTGAAAGATCGCCTAGGCCTAATGCAAAAAATAAGTTTTAATACCCATGTGCGTTAAAATTTAATCAGGATCACCGCTGCTCTAAACGGATTAGCAAGAACTTTCAAATATACCTCGGAGTATACTGACTTCGACAACTTTCTTTATATGCATGTTTTTGTGAAATATCGTAATAACATTGCGAGCCGAGCGTCCCATTTTAGTTTTTATTTGTAGTAAATAATCATGTGTTTCAGGCGTATGGTCGCCCGGTCAACACGAAGAGTACAAAGAATCTCCCAAAGAATATCAACCGTCAACCAGAAGTCACCAAGATGACAGCAGTGGTCTTCCTCCTGTATGGACGCCAAAGAGCGCAACTTCCAGTCCGACTGTGGAAAGGAAGGAGTTCAAACCTGTCAATTTCCAGTCGCCAGTATTAGGTAGAAAACATAGGACTCAGTCAGAGGCAAGTAATAGTAGATACGGAAAGGTGAAACCTAGCACCCACGCCACCTTATTGGCTGGCTCCGGGTACCAACATTTAAACTGCTATCTCAACCATCGTTGAAATTTAATACGACTGGTAGGAACGTTCTCTCTGACAAAAGACCTTGAAGTTATCAGTGGGGTCGCAGTAACTTCGTGCAGTTTAATGCTTCTAGAACCTTTTGCCGCCTGTTTGAATACCTGTCAGTTGACCTGCGAGGTCTCTTAGATTTTTTCTCAGTAGCCGCAGTAATCTCAAGTTTAGACCCAGCTTCGGGGCCAGCCTCAGGGTAATGATCAAAAGAATCGCATAATTAATCATCGATGATCGAAACTACTATCATTAGGTATCTGCAATGGATGAATAATAACATATAAGGTTTTATCTTGTCTTCCAGAGTTTAGGTCCAGAAAGTCCGTCTTCGGAGCTCCCTTGGAAAGTTCCGGACTACAGCAGTGACTCCGGATTTCCAGCCTCCCGCTTCGACAAACGGCTCCCCACCAGCCATTCCTCCCCCGCTTCGGGTTTTAACGAGCTTTCCACCCCCACGCCACGTCTTCCAAAGGCCCAGAACCCTACGATCACTCTTTTACAAAAAGCAAGAGGTAAGTAACATACCCCCTTTTATGTCATGTGTATTCAGAAGTGGGATGGGCCCAAAAAAATAAACTGTCGCGAGAACCACGTGGTATCGGCCCCAGCACAGCCTGCGAAGCATTGGTAATGTAGCAACGAGGTGTCTTACATATTTGGGAATCTGCACACGCAGTCCCAAAGTTTCAGTACTTCAAGGCTCAAGTTTAGCGACTTGATAGAGAAACTTTATATTGCGCTTGTGTTATTTAGAAACTTTGCAATTTGATTGGGAATCGTTTTGCAACGTTTCTTTTTACAGTGGTAATGGCGAGTACTAAAAACAATTTGGCACCTTGGCAATATTTTCTTTCAACAAGTGTCATACGGCGAAAAAATCTTCGGAATTGTGGCAAACACGTTTCTTTGATGGCCCCCTGGCCTGGCGCTCTGGCCTGCGAGTTCATGCAATATAACTCTAATGACATTTCTTTTTGGGATTTATCAACGATGATGTTTATTCAAACAGTCGGCATACGATCGATCACCTGAAGCAAAACATTCCTCAACTTGTTGGCGAATTTCAGGCATAATTGTGCCAAAGGGCTTAACATTTTATCGAAGAATCTGAGGGGCTATTGGAAAATATGATTTGTTGAACACACTCCCATACTTCTTCATTCAAAAGAGGTGTTTTGAATTTCCTGCACATTTTAGTGCCTAGTACGCAGGGTGGACGTTTTTTCCTAGCTCAATATAAAACAACCAAATATACTAAGTGACATATAAATCCGAACACCCAGTTTAAATGGTTTTATTTTAATAAAATTTTGTATGAGTACTTAATGAAGCATAATAAGTAAATGATAAAAATTTCAAAATGATTGCACTGCTTTAAAGCCCTTTGACCTTTAATAATGTGTGGATGCACCCTGATGTGCTACGCATTCTCCAACGCGCCTAGGCATGCTTCTGATCAGGTGGTCAATGTCCTCCTCTGGTATCTCATCCCAGGCAACCACCAACTCCTCTCGAAGTGCTTCTAGAGTCTGAGGAGGACGTTGCAAATTGAGCAATCTCGTACCCATCATATCCCACACGTGCTCAATTGAGGATAAGTCGGGAGATCTTGGTGGCCATGGTAACAATGTGACATCATTATGTTGAAAGAAGTCTATTGTGACTCTTGCAACATGTGGTCGGGCATTATCTTGTTGGAAAGTTGGATCTGCCAGGGTGTCAAGATAAGGTAAAAGATGGGGTTCTAGAACTTCGTGGATATAACGCTGTGCGTTCATGTTACCTCTGATGAAGATTAAAGGTGACCTGGAACCATAAGCTATAGCACCCCAAACCATAACTCCAACAGTGTGATGAACATGTCTTTCAACAAAAAACTGTGGATTCCTCCTGTCACCACGTCGCCTTCTAACCCTGGCACGACCATCGTGCATGCCTAAATAAAATCGAGACTCGTGACTAAAGACAATACTGTTCCATTCCTGATCCCAGAGTGACCGTTGTCTGCACCACTCAAGGCGATTACGTCGGTGTTCTCGAGTTAAAGGGAGGACCCAGTGTGGCCGGTATTAAAACAAGCCAAAACTTCTCATTCGTCGGTAAACACATCGCATGCCAATAGGTCTTCCGTGTTCTGCAAACCATTCATTTGCAATGGACCTGGTAGTGGAGAAACGGTCCCTTAAGGCCAATAATCTTAGGCGGCGATCTTCACGGTCTGTTGTTCTACGGCGGCGTCCAGTGCCCCTTGCTCTTTGCGTACGGCCTTCTCGAAGCCATGCCTGACAAGACCTAACCACAGTGTCTACACTTCTTTGCACTCTAACTGCAATTGCCCGAAAAGAAAGTCCAGCTTCCCGAAGTCCCACTATACGGCCCCTATCAAACTCACTAAGTTGACGAAATCGTACAGGTCTCCGTACTCTAGGCATCGTAACCGATCGTAAAGGATGTCAAGAACCAAAATCCGCAAACTTTGATTCTTTACTGCGGCTGAAATATTCATCTTTAGAGCGTTAGTGAATTAAAAAAAAGCAGTATAAAAACCGGAATGTCCAACTGATAAGACTGAAAATTTTTTCACTTCTTATTTACAGTAAGATAAATACATTCACCAACTTTTATTAAAATAAAACCATTTAAACTGGGTGTTCGGATTTATATGTCACTTAGTATAACTTAAGGTTTGTTGTTTGGGCACAACACGTTCAAATTCCTTATGCAAGCACAGCTATATTCGGGTCCAACACTTGACATACTTGAGGCGTTAAGAGTTGAGATACATACATGGTCATTACCTTGATAGAGACTTGTTTTTTTTTATTTTAGAGGGTCATTTACCAAGAGGTCCAAATTACATCGAAGTAGAATCAAAACCATTCAGGCCAAGAAACGATAGACCGCCCATTGCAAGTCCTGGAGAAGTTTGTAAGTACTTAAATTATTTATCTACGAACTAATGTTTTCTAATATGAATAGTCTAAGCGATATCGAAGCTGTGCAACTTCAATCTCGAAGCTTAGACCTTTGAGACCTTACGGTATCGAAACAAGAAATGTAGCTAAGTACTTTTACAATATGTCTCAATACCTGTCCACGAAACACAAGTTGCTTATGGGCGAATAGTTCACTGAATTCAATAGAACGATTGTAATTTTGCTTATACAAACTGAAACAAAAGTTTAGAACCCATCAAGTATCTGTTGAATGACTTAACTAATTTTTTTTTTAAATTGGCAGGTTTAGGTTTGAAACTAGGGCGGCTCCGTTGATAATATCGGCGATGTTGCCAAATCGATAGTTTTTCAGGAACTGATAGCAGCTTTTGTTTTTCTTGTGGAATGCTATATATTTCAGTCGATATTTATATTCTGCGATAAGCTCTGAATATTATTATATAACATACTTTGACGTAGACCTCATAGTTTTCGAAATAACAATAAATGGTATTTTTTCACCTAAGCAATGAGCGGTATAGAAAATAATCATTTCTGACATTGAAAAGTCCATTGAGTTTTGTTAGTAGAGTTAATAAAAATATGATTTACTTAACTAAAGCCAAGAATCACTAGAATTTCTATTCCCTCGGTTTCAGTAAAATAAATCATTCTCAATAACTCTACTAACAAAAGTCAGTGGACTTTTGAATGCCAGAAAGGACAGGGAATTACTTTCGATACCGGTCGTTGCTTAGTTGAAAAAGATAGCTTTTATTGTTTAGATATCAATGTTTGACCGCGAATATTTCGAAAACTAGTCGACGTCAAAGCATGTTCCATAAAAATAATTCAGAATTTCTTACAGAATACAAATATCGGATCAAATGTACAGCATTCAATAAGAAAAACAAAAGTTAATATCAGTTTCTGAAAAATTGTATACCTGTATATCCAAAACATACACCATACTGACAAGTACAAAAAAAAATAGAAACGATATGTGATAGAGGTTTTTATTACCTTATATTCTATACAAACTTGTCAGTGATCATTCTTATTTATGATTCCATCATTTCGGATTAAAATTTTAATCCAATATTTCGATAATAATGAGATCAATCTCAATGTTAGTAATCATTTATCACATTGCTGATAAGCATAGTAATTTTCATTCGCGTACTACGATTCCTACTCGAAATCATTTGGAAAAATCAAAAAATACTAATACTTTTTGTGTGCGGGCTTTTGCAGTGTACCAAATAAAACACGAATATACTAGCGACTCCGAAACCGACAGACCACGAAAAATGGCAGACCTGGGCCCACGAAAATTCGAAGGTGTCGGCCCTGTCACGAAGGATGGCATGCCTGTGATACTTAGATCGGTGAGTAGCATTGATAATAATTATAAGCTATTCATTCCAAACATCGTAAATGCTGTAAATGACAACACTGGTGCATATCCAGAGATGTGATTTATTAGAGTGGGGGTTATTTTAAAAATAATATCTAGTCGCTATATCGGATGTTCAACTCTCATCATAGGAGTCTCGGAAACTAAGTAAAAAGGATCGAGTTCAGCAATTCACAGTACTTTCTAAGAATTATTTTTAATCATGGTTTTATTTAAGTTGGAGCTTCAAAATAAATTGCACGTTCACGCCTTTACTTTTTCTTATGGATGCGATGTTGAATTTTTCCACAGCTGAATTTTGTATGCTGATTTCGAAAATGTGTAATACGAGGGCGGTTCAATAACTACCCGTGTTATAAATGAAGACAGCATTTTTCCAAAAAAATTCTTTTTGTTTTGCAACATAATCCCCTTTTAGAAAGATACACTTTTCCCAAAGTTCCTGCCATTTTTTTAAACACACACCTAGGGCCTCTGCTACTTCGCACACTTTCATTCGTCGATCAGCGAGAATCATGTCGTAGACTTTTTGAATGATTTCCTCGGTAACCACGCCTGCCGGGCGTCCTGGACCTCTATTATTGAGTTTGAGGGAGTATAAATTGTGAGAGAAAGTGGTAAAAAGAGGGTATGGCCAAGAAACGTAGTATTCTTGAAATCAATGCTACCGAAAAGTGATAGAAATCGATTCACTTGGTACCGACCAAGAGAAACTGGAAAAATTAGTAGAAAATAGCGTTATATACCTGAAAATTGACGTGTTTGGCATTGTTATTGAAGTTCCTGCTAAACATATTGTGAAAAATGGATAACTTCAATCAATTGAGGTATCGGAACGATATTATTAACGAGGATGTAGAGGAGGCATTTGAGGAATTGGGAGAGATATTCTTGGGCACCGAGATCCTTTCATAATTTCGGATCGAACTTTGTACATAATACGTTTAGGTTGACCATGGATTTGGTGTATGAATTGCTGGAGATATTGACTCTATTCATACAACCACCCCCACGAGCTTCTGCGCTTTCTATCAGACAAGAGTAGATATTAAGTTTTAATCATTCTAAAACAGTATGTTTTAACCTATGATTGAATTTTCCCTGGTGCATTCGGGGGTGCTCTCGGAGAAATTCAATCATTTTGTCCTTTCGTTCATTTGTAATGTGTTTTTTAACGTTTTCGGCTCCATAGATAAAATTATAAGGAGGAAATCTTGACCAAAATCTTTGGTTTGTTTTTTACTTTCAAAGATATCTCCATTTTGATTGGTTTAACACGTCTATTCAACCCTGGCGACCATGTGTCTTGATCTTATTATACATACATATTATAAAGTTGCAGTTCAACAGAAATGTGGAAAAGGTTAAGGAACAATGGAATAGTCTCTCAAAAGGATAACACCATCCAAATTCCTTTAATGATGTCAATGAACTTAATAATTTTTTTTGTTAACAGTATACCTAATATACAGCCTTCTCCTAACTTAATAAATTTCTACAGAAATACTAGGAGGAATTCTTCAAATTTGGATTCAAAGAAGTTAATGATTTATTTGTTTATGAAGCAATTTGCCGTATTAAAACTAATGCTCGTGGTTGCGATGGTTTTAATTTAAATTTTATTAAACTATGTTGCCCTCATATTATTCCTTATTTAACTCATATAATTAATTTTTGTTTTACGCATAATCAGTTCCCTGATCTGTGGAAGCAAGCAAATGTCTGTGTTCTGCCAAAAAAACCTAATCCTTCAGATCTTAAAGATCTCAGAGGGATTAGTGTTTTGCCATTTTTCTCTAAATTACTTGAGCGTGCAATGGAGGAGCAACTTTCTTATCATTTGTCACAATTTTCATTACTGCCAATTGTACAGTCTGGATTTAGGAAAAATCATAGCTGTACGGCGTCTTTACTTCATGTAACAGACGACATAATTAGAGCTACAGATCGTGGCGAGTGTACTGTTCTTGTTCTGCTGGATTTCAGCAGAGCGTTTGACACTTTAAACCATCAATTAATGCTTGCTATTTTACATCATATTGGTCTTTCTCAAAACGCTATAGATTTATTTCAGTGCTACTTCACTAAGTGGAAACAAACAGTTGTTTAAAATGGAGTTCAGTCTTTATCTTTAAATTTGAAATCCGGCGTACCCCAAGGGTCCATACTTGGACCACTCCTATTTCTAATTTATACATCTAATTTCATGCACTTCCTTAGTCTATGTAATGTGCATTTTTACGCTGATGACACCCAAATCTATTGCAGCTTCCCCCCACAATTGATGGATCGTTTCTCGTTGATCATTAATAATGAGCTAAACTCCTTTTAGAATGTGCCACACGCCACTGTCTTTTAATAAATCCATCAAAGTCTCACGTAATTGTTTTTGGACCTAGACAAAATAAAAATGTTATATAGAATCTTATTAAAATTGAGATAAATGGTGTAACTCTCAAAATAATGGACAATGTAAAAAATTTAGGTGTTGTGATTGATAGTAATCTTCGATTTGAGTATCACATCAACAAAATTATGCAGAGAGCATATTTGTCGTTGAAATTTATTTACGGTAGCCGGAAATTTCTCTCGTTAAAACTTAAGATCATGCTATGTGATACTTTAGTATTATCTTTATTCAACTACGCTGATGTGCTTTACGGCCCACACTTAACTAACCTGTATCGTCGTAAAGTTCAACTGGTTCAAAACTCATGCTTGCGCCTTGCATTTGGTATACAGAGGAGATATAGAATATCTCACAAATTGAAAGATGCAGGTTGGTTAAATATGGAAAATCATAGGCTCCTCCACTCTGCTGTTTTTTATCATAAATTAATTTTAGTCAGAACACCCCAATATCGTTATCAAAAAATAACCTACCGGACTGACGTTCATAACATTAACGTAAGAAGCAAGGGTCTTATTTCGCCACCCAAGTTTAGAACGTCAATCTTCAAACGGAGCTTCACATACCAAATATATAAAGTCTACAACTCGGTCCGGAAGGAACTAAAATTTTCTAAAATAGATAACTTCAAAGCCATGTTTAAAAAGGAACTGCTGCAAAAACAGTAGCACCGCATGAATGAATGAATGATTGTTTTTTTTTTGTTAGCGTGTAGGTATGTCCCTCTTTTATAGTGACATGTATGTATTATCGGTTTATTGGATGTCATATGTCGTAGAGGATACTGGGCTAAGTGGAAGAGCAGGTTTCTATTGAAGTCAAGAATAGGGGCACTGGTCTATCCTCGTCAAAAACGGATGTTCGCCCACGTTTAAATCCATTGACCAATATCTAACTGTGGTCATAGATGGCGAAGTGGCCCCATAAACAGCATCCAACTTTGTATTTATTTCCTCGCATTTTTTCCCATCCAAAAACAAAAAGCGAATTACCGAACGATATTGCTTTTTTCCATCTTAGCGAAAATCACGAAACACGTGCTACTCGAATGGCTGCCAAATCAAAACTAACCTATCAATCAATCTGAAATTTGTTGTGCCGTCGTCTGATAGATGGCAGCACACGATGACAACATTAACTTCCCTCAGAAACGCCCTCTGTCGTCAAACACGGGTACTTATTGAACCGCCCTCGTATGTCATACATTAATATCTCAAAACTATAACTACTTGAAGAACAGAAATTTCCACTAATTATGTAAAACTGCAATTAAATATATGAAAAGTATTCCTTAAAATTATCAAGTCATTTGTTCGGTATTATCAGCCAAGTATTCCTACAGTTGTATCAACTGGCCATATGTAAACAGCCCCTATTCCTATTTTAATATAGTATGTTATTGTACATAAAATTGGATTGGCATTATGAGACTTCAGATGTCTAAAAAAAAAGTAATATTGTTATGTTGGTCGGTCTTAGTTCATTGAATAAATAACAAATTTTATTATTCTTTTAATATTCTTATTTGTATGTTTTTTGAGTTTATAGAGCTTTCAAGTTCTAAAGCTTATTATCAGCATTGAACGAGTTTTGTATATAATTTCATTATAGAATGATTCGTCATAGATAATACTCGTATATACAAACAGTTTTGAAGAAATGACTTACTCTACTACGAGTAATAAAATCAAGTTTGCTGGTGATAAAGCTTTCATAAATCCATAACCATCCAACTCTTTGTTTTCAGGAAGTAAAGGACCAAAATCAGTCAAAGTGGTACAAAAAGATGTACGACACTATACATAAGCAGAGGCCTCGGCACGGTTAGTATAGTTATACTTATATCTACGGTGTAAATAGGTGTACATAGGTGTACATGAGTGGCAATACAAATAATGCGTGGATGAAAAATACGTAAAATCTCATAGTTTTCTGAGATACCCGATATTTCGTTCGATAATTAAACAAATATATAAGTATATTATAACACTGATTCTACTCTTTCTTTATTTTACAGACGAATATGTCACGGTTCGATACAAACAGAGAAGAGGTATTACATTCAAATTATTTGCTTCATTGCTTTATAAAATCGCTTCTGTTTTCTGATTTCATGATCAATAATGTTTGAGCTACTTCTGCACATACACGCTATCGATTTTCATTTATTCCACTAACAACGTTTTTTTTTGTAGCGTAGTGTAAAAGATTTCTGTGTAATGAATCCAAAATATTTCTACAGCTTATGATAATACGTGTAATCTTACCGCAAAAGTTACGTTGAAAAAGTAAAAGGTTCAGCTCTACAAGAGTATATCTTGTGAACTATAGTATACAAGTGCAGTTATCAAAGAAAAATGCGCTACTTTGGTAAAAACTCAAAAGTAAATTGGCAATTAGGAGTTGTAATATTAGTATTTTAAGCAAACGCAGACGATAACGGTGTTCAAATAGTTTGTAAAGATATAAACAGTGTTGTGATTGATTAGTTGAAAATTAACTGTTATCATCAAACAAGGTTAATGTGCGCATAAGGAAGCCCATTCTTACTTTAAAACAATTTTGACGTTAAAGAAATACGTTAAAGTATAACCTATAAATTACTGCAACATATGTGTGTCCTATTTAGTTCAAAAAAGTCTTTATACTAACCTCATTCAAGCGATACTACACATTATACAATTTTTACGAGTGTTAGAGTACTCGACAAAGATAACCTTCCTGATCTTATAGAATCACTTACGGTACAGTGGCGCAGTTACGTAACTAGTCCTAAAAGATTAATGATTCAAATTGAAGAGAAACGGAAATGCTATCACAGCAGTATACATTATAATGAGTTTAAGTATCCCCAACATCATTATTTATATAAGCTCAGTATTTGAATCGAAAACTTGAATTTTTTGTTTTTGATAATAGTTTCACGAGCTGTGACTTTTTTAAAAATTACTATTCGGTCGCCAAAAAGCAAAGACAGACCAACAAACCGAGACGCACTTTCACCACAACTGGCGTGAAGTCTACAGCTTTCAATGAACTATGAGCATTCGTTACTTTGGACTAATGAGCATAGAGGCTGAAAATACAATTATATTTTAAAACAATGTGCCTCCAAATCGTGCATCATGTTGACAAATACAAGTTGAGTAAGCTGTACTACATACATACAATTTTGAACATTCGAATATAGAATAGAGTTTGTTCAAAGATCTTTGTACATTGTGAACCATCAAACTTCAAACACAATAAAATAGTCTAAAATTTTCATGATTTTCAGGGCTTTCAAAATTTTTTAGATCCTGAACATTTTGGTAACTTGAATATAGCTCGAAAGTCGAAGATTTGAAATCCGCCTGTGATGACAACTGATACAGCTACAAAAATTCAAAATATGTTATGAAAAAAATTATCCACGTCGACACAGGCCAAGTTCAAGCAGTATTCTCCGTATCCCCCCGCCAGCCACAATATGACACCGATAACAATACTCAAAATAAAAGCAATAATCAAGTCTATCATCCGGTCTCATTTACACCCTTTAGGTTATTCATCTATCATAGTAGGCACATTCAGTTATATTTATTTTGATACTTATTATCATATTAACTAAATACCTACTGACATCAAAACGATATTTACAGCACACAATGATATTTCCGAAAGAGGCAAATTTATCGTCCCTTAGACTTAGGTGTAATTCAGTATTGGTCTGACTCATTTTTCACCGGTTTTGTGTGTTTGCAAATGTCCCTGAGCGTGCGCGGTGGATGCATTGACTTGTGGTAGCGATGGTAGATGGTGTCATGTGACGTCATCACTCAGTCAGAAAACTCTGGGTGGCGTAACTTGGTCATTTTTTAAGATATTCAAAAGAATGTTTCAGTGTTTTGAAAAACAGGAAACTTCCTCATTATTTTGCCCTACAATCCGCCAACATTAACTGTTGATTTCTTTGCCATTTTTTGACCGATTTCAGTAACCTTCTGATTGCTTCTGCTTAACCTCTCAGGTATGTTACCCTTTATTTGATTCTGAATATAATCAGGCTTCTCCATTTCATTTTTACATAGAACCCCGAACTATTGCGATATTTCTAACTCAGAAAATAAGTAGAATCTAGGTACTTTGCTATGACTACACCACTGCAAGCTCATAATATAAATTAGTTTTTATCTAAGCAGTCGCTACGAGATTTTCGGTTTGTGTACACAAAGCACACTTCGCGGTTTGTGATTTAAAACGACGCGACGTGCCATTACATTGTTGGAACGTCATCTCGTCTGTTAAAAAATCACGCGGAAAATGAAAAACGTATTCGTGCAACTGAGATAAGAAATAATCAATCACCGGAACGAGTAATAGTAGCACTCAGTTATTTTTGAATCTACCATAGTTATAGTGATTGACTGTTAGTGCTAAATAGGTAGAGGTCATCCCAAATATCCGTATTCCCGCGTAAAGTTCAGCCCTTGAAGCCAGTGTAAACCAATCTTTGGTAAGATTCTTCGCTGTTGGCTATAATAGAGTTCACTGATATTTAAAAATATTAAATGGCAATTGTGAGTTTTTGGAATGCCTGTATGGTAAATATATCGTAAAGTCCAAATCAACTAATAAACGGAAGGCTTCTAATAAACATATCTCTCGTAAAAATTTCAATCATCTGAATTTGCAATAGAATCTAATAAAACACACGCGTCAATAAAAACAAAAAACTAAAGAAAAGGAGCGTGATTAGGTGCACCAGATGCAACAGCTACTTGCTTTGATTTTTCTGAAAATGGTGATGAAAGATGGCCAAGAGCTGTATTTTTTTTCAAACTGCGCACTTTCCAAAACGTTGTCTCATACCTTAAATTGCATTCTTGTTGCAGGCATATCGAGACCAAGCCTCTACCAAAAAATAAGCCAGTAAGAAAGTTATTAAAAAAACTATTAATTCACTGGACAACAAATTTTAGTTTTTTAATTGTATCTTGTGGGAAAAGTGCACTTCTTTGTTAATTTTGGGGCGCTGAATCCAAAAATGACAATGAAATAAAAAAATTAGTTGCGGTTTAGAAAAAAAACTTTTTATTTTTAAGGATATATTAAAAAAAGTAACAAGATTCATATACTTAAAAGAATCACTATATAGGCTGTCTTTTTGCTGTTCTTTTATGGATCGTTACTGGAGCATCTCTACCAAGAGTCCAACAGTAGTCTGCAAGCATGGCAGGATTCCACTTTCCCTGGTACCTTTTTTCCATTGTTGAAATATCCTGATGAAGTGTAGGAAATGTATCTTGAGAGACATATTACAGCCCATCTTTTGATACGATGACAGCATATTTTTGACAAGGGTTTTATAGTTGTCAGCTTTTCTATTTCCCAAGAAATTAGTGACCACCAGACGGAAATCATTCCAAGCAGCTTTTTCAATACCTGTTAAAGTGTTTTCAAACTGTGTATCTTTCAAAATATTTCGAATCTGTGGCCCAACAAAAATACCTTCTTTAACCTTTGCCTCACTTAGTCTTGGAAATTTCTGACGCAGGTATTGAAAAGCTGACCCATCTCTATCTAATGCCTTGACAAAGTTTTTCATTAGGCCCAACTTGATATGCAGTGGTGGTAATAAAATTTTTTTCGAATCTACTAATGGCATATGCTGTACATTTTTTTTACCTGGCTCTAGGAATTGACGAATAGGCCAGTTTTGTCTGGTGTAATGAAGTGCCTTTGCCCGACTGTCCCATTCACACAAAAAACAGCAAAACTTTGTGTAGCCTAGCCGCAGCCGAAGTAAAAGTGCAACAACTTTCAAATCGCCACAAATATGCCATTGGTGCTCATCGTATTTTATGCATGTCAATAGGTACTTCATATTGTCATATGATTCTTTCATGTGAACTACATACCCTACAGGAAGAGATGGTAAAATATTTCCAATATGCAATAACACTGCCTTTAAACTGTCTATAAACAATCTCCATTCTTCTGGGTTATAGTTTATATTTAAAGCCGCCAGTAAGCCGTTAATGTTACTGCAGAAAACCAAGTTATTCTCCATATTGAAAAATGGTTCTAAGTCTTTGTGGCGTTTACGAAAAACACATACCGAAACATCGTCTTCTAACAAGTTCCACTGCTGCAGTCTTGATCCAAGTAACTCTGCCTTACATTTTGGAAGTTCTAAATCTCTTACAAGATCATTTAATTCTGACTGTGTTATTTTGTGCGGTTGGTGGCATGACGTGCTCGGTATAAAATCAGGATCTCTTGACGTTGATGGCATATCTTCTTCCTGACGAATCACTCGATCGCCATGATCTGATTCGTTTTCTGATTCGCAAGGGTAGGATTCTGGGGGTTTTGGAATAGGATTTTCGTCACTGTGAGGCACAGGTCTCATCGCAGATGGTATGTTTGGGTAGTTAATAACCGATTTTTTTTTCTTGGACATACCTGTGGCTTGTCCAACGCAAGGTACCATGCAAAAGTAACAATCATTAATATGATTTGTAGGCTCTCTCCAAACCATTGGGACAGCAAAGCGCATAGACCGTGTTTTGCCATTTAACCAGCTCCTCAGACTTGAAGCACATGTATTACAGCAGATGTGGGGTGCCCACTGTTTGTTTTGATCACCTAGTTTACAACCGAAATAAAGCTGATATGCCTTTGTTATTAGTGGAGTAATAGACCGTCTCTGAAACGCAAAAGTCACATCACCACACACGTAAAAAAACTGATCTGGATTGTTTACACACTTCCGAGACATCTTGCATGAACGCTGTCAGCCAACTGAGGAAAAAATGGCTAATATAAAACAATATAATGTACACGTATGTATAACGTAACACAATCATGCCTATTACATCATCTTTCCTTGCCGAATATAAAAATGTAGCACGTGCATTCTTGTGAATTACAGTATATTAACACTGTCACAGCAGGAACACATATAATTACCGTATCTCTAAAACTTGAACTAATATCGAAAAAATAAGTTTCATTCCGGTTTTAGCACATTAAAAATAGTAATATTTTGTTGATTTTATTTAGGATATTTTTTGGCTGTTGATCAGTGTTATGGATCGTTTTCGAGTTGCTCATGTCTACCTCAAAAATGAACAGATTCCAATGAAACCCTGTAATACAGGAATTTGGCCTTTTCATGTTGCATTATAATATAAAAAACATTAAAAAACCGTTTTCCTCGAGCCTGCTTTCATAATAAAGTTATCTGCTCAAAGAAGGTCGTAAAATATACAGCCAGCATCATATTACTAAATGCGAATAGTCAGATCTAATAAATATACATTTTTTATTTTTCACTTGTTGATATCTAGCAGCCAGCACTATTTGGAAGAAGTAATTAATGGTATAGGCTGTCAGATAAACTTTTACACATTTATCCTTCTGTTTTCATTCAGACCCTATAAACGTGCTTCCAACGCGAAGAGTCCAGGTAGTATCTTGGCGTCTCCGATTTTTCGCATGGTATTTAAAAAGGACTTAACCAATCTGCTTGTTGTCAGGCTCAAATTTGCGATAAACATTTTTTAAACATTTTTCTTAAGGAAATTCCAGATTTTTTTTATTTTTTGGGTATTCTGAAAAAAAGAATGTTCTCGAGAACTCTTGTTTATAGTGGTTACCTCATTCGAATGTCCAAAGTTGTATACAGGGTGACTTTGAAGTTGAGTCATTAATTTTCAGATAATGATTGTAGAAGGAAGATAAACCAAAATATGTGTGTAAAATAAAAAAAAAAAATAAAAAAAATGTTTACCTTGTTTTATAAAGTATCCTCCCGACAAGTATTTCAGTGCGGACCTGTATTTGATCGTGAGGTCCCCTGTGAGGTCTTAAGTCACCTGATTCACAAGCCCGTTGTACTACATTAACAAAGGCACGAGGGGTTGGTTGCACTCGATTGGGAAACCGATCCGCATAAACATGTGCCATTTTTTATTTCGTTTGAGCCACGCAACACATACCACTATTCACTGACACTAACTGTATACAAATGAATGAGATACCTGTAAAAACATCGTTCCAAATTCTTTCGCTTTTTTGTTTCCGATGCGATGAACCGATACGGCGGATTATATCCATTGTCGCCAAACACGACCACATAATATTGTTATTGAGATAGGGCGGTACTCAAACTTCCAAAGGGCTATAACTTTGTTACTTTAATTTTACCAGGAAAATGGTAAAGGAAAAAAACATTTCTTTTGATCAGATCTACTCACTGTTAAAATAAATGACTCAACTTCGAAGTCACCCTGTATAAACGAATTCGTGCCCGTTAACAAATGGCGCATATTTTCTGATACGCGCATTGATCTAATCTCCTTCACATCAACGTAACGCACCACGACGAAAATTCTAAAGGATCTTCCAGAAGCTACACTTGAAACAGCTTCCGCATCACCACCTTAAACCTAGCCTAGCACCAAGCTTAGCACAGCTGGACTGGACTCACCATCACATCACCGCTTTAGAGAGTGCACTATTTTTTATTGTTCTTTAGACTATAGTATTGTATATTCTAATTATAGCACAATATCCGTACTCTTCTGGTTATCTCTCAGAGCCGGAGCCTGGTGCGTACGACAGCGATTTCACCGACTACAAGTACCAGACATTGGATAGAAGGAAGCCCATGACTGAAAGGATCGACTATTCTACCTCAACTATGCCACGTAGCATGCCCAACAGGTATATGAATTAATGATAACAGTCATTTCAAATAAACGTAGTGCTTCCAAAATCATACGAAAAAGGTTTCTAAGCTGGTTCGACTTCGTGTTCAGGTGTTCTCACACTTAGAGGTTCTACCTTCAGATGTTCCTTTTCAGACAGAACCAGTTTCAACAAGAGGACGATGAATATTAGAAAAGGTTCGACTATCCGGCAAAGCACGATCGGGATATCTCTGGTGATCAATCCGTCTGGCTTGCTCACCATTACCGTCGGCAAGGCCATATACGTAATGCATTTCCGCCATTTCTGCACTTGAATAATTCACCATTATTAACAGGATTGTAAAAGCTAAATAGTGAAAAAGATGTCACAGCGAACAGATTTGAATAACAGAGACTTGTCAGATGTCAAAAGCCAGTGACATATTCCAGAGCAACTAGATATTTATTGCTAAATTGCATTCTTCAATTATTACATTAATTTTCTCAGACAATAGAACGGTTTTTATTTTTTTACTCAAAAATGGCGCATCGAAAGAAAACAATTCACGAGAGATCATTTGTTTTAAACTGAACGGGGAATTCAAAAATAATTATTATTTGGCAAAAAACCATTGGCGTACCATTTTTTTCTTAACAAATATCGAAGTCAATACCCATACGCACGCCACTGTTAAAGCTTAAAATTATTTTTGCATTGAAAAATATGCAACTTTATTAACTTTCACTACGTACTAAATATCAGTGAAATATCTGAAGCGGTTCTGAAAATATTAATTAATTTCCATTTTTTCCTAAAACTTTTTGTAAGGAAGCATTTTTGGACCATAGTTTATAAAGCAAACTAACATGTAGATTTACACCCTTTCGCATATCATTAAGGAACACCCTGTAGAAAAAAAGCAAAATCAAAGCGATGATTATCCGAGGTATTCTAGAACTATCCTGTCCTCTGAGGATTTTTGAAAAATCTGTCACATGTGTACTAGCAAATCACAAGCTCACGCGTACTCGCTATGAACGCCACCTGTGGAGGAAACTTACAGCTTAGACCATAGTCTCTTATACTGGTCTCCGCTAGAAGCATCTGTGAAGCAGATGCTACGTCACATCAGAGCCAAAGCACAAAACTCAAGCATCTGACGTTTAGGCAACACACCCAGCTACTACAAATGAACATGTACGGAATGATAGCTAGTTCCAAAGTGACAACTGTGGCCATCAAGTCACTATCCCTGTCATTTTTGCAGTTACGTATTTGAACTCTACAAGGAGAAAAGGTTGTATACTAAGTGACATATAAATCCGAACACCCAGTTTAAATGGTTTTATTTTAATAAAAGTTGGTGAATGTATTTATCTTACTGTAAATAACAAGTGAAAAAATTTTCAGCCTTATCAGTTGGACATTCCGGTTTTTATACTGCTTTTTTTTTAATTCACTAACGCTCTAAACATGAATAAGGGACCGTTTCTCCACTACCAGGTCCATTTCAAATGAATGGTTTGCAGAACACGGAAAACCTATTGGCATGCGAAGTGTTTACCGACGAATGAGAAGTTTTGGCTTGTTTTCATACGGCCACACTGGGTCCTCCCTTTAACTCGAGAACACCGACGTAATCGCCTTGAGTGGTGCAGACAACGGTCACTCTGGGATCAGGAATGGAACAGTATTGTCTTTAGTGACGAGTCTCGATTTTGTTTAGGCATGCACGATGGTCGTGCCAGGGTTAGAAGGCGACGTGGTGAAAGGAGGAATCCACAGTTTTTTGTTGAAAGACATGTTCATCACACTGTTGGAGTTATGGTTTGGGGTGCTATAGCTTATGGTTCCAGGTCACCTTTAATCTTCATCAGAGGTAACATGAACGCGCAGCGTTATATCCACGAAGTTCTAGAACCCCATCTTTTACCCTATCTTGACACCCTGGCAGATCCAACTTTCCAACAAGATAATGCCCGACCACTTGTTGCAAGAGTCACAATAGACTTCTTTCAACATAATGATGTCACATTGTTACCATGGCCACCAAGATCTCCCGACTTATCCCCAATTGAGCACGTGTGGGATATGATGGGTAGGAGATTGCTCAATTTGCAACGTCCTCCTCAGACTCTAGAAGCACTTCGAGAGGAGTTGGTGGTTGCCTGGAATGAGATACCACAGGAGGACAATGACCACCTGATCAGAAGCATGCCTAGGCGCGTTGGAGAATGCGTAGCACATCAGGGTGCATCCACACATTATTAAAGGTCAAAGGACTTTAAAGCAGTGCAATCATTTTGAAATTTTTATCATTTACTTATTATGCTTCATTAAGTACTTATCCAAAATTTTATTAAAATAAAACCATTTAAACTGGGTGTTCGGATTTATATGTCACTTAGTATATTTTGAGAGATATGAATGTTATATAAAAACTGTTTGAAATAAGTACCTCTTGGTGGGCTATTTAAATTTGAATTTTTCCATTGCAAAATTGGTCCTTCTTAACTGCAATCAAACGAAACTCAGATCACTGAAGTAGATCCAGTGATACTGAAATTTTGGCGTAGCAAAATGGTCCTTGTGGACCTCCTGGAAGCACTGCGGAAAACAGACATCAGATTCGTGATCTACGCACAGAATTACCTATGAAATAAGTTTTTGTCTAAATTGTACACACTCAAGGTATTTTTGTATTTTGTCCAACATTATGCATTTAAACTGAAACTTCACAATGCAAAAGCTTGATTTTCATCCACCCTGCACGAAACACGGCATACATCGGTAATTTGGTACGCAGATTTCAGAAATGGCTCATCCTTGTAGGGGAACCTTATTTGGAGATAAAAACTGGACTTTCGAGATCTGCTATCGAACTCGGCGAGATTTGTCGCTTGAAGTCTTATATTCGGTTAATAAAACAGCACAACTTATTAAATGCGTATCCACTCTTGTTTCTCTCGTCTTAACTTTTTAACCCTCCCGCCCTGAGGAATATAGTTTGTAAGAGTGTAAGTCTATGCATATTACAAAATATCTTACTTATCAAAGTCGGCCACCGTAACCTGAAGATTTGCGGTTACTGAGTCAACTGACCTTCAAATGACCTTAAACCTGTGATGTGATACAAACGGTCGGACTTAGAGTTCAAAATAAACAACCCCAAAAGCTCCTAGTCAACTCTGATAAACAAGATATGATATATTTTTCGCATACAAAAATGTCAAACAATACTCTCCACCTGTAAGGGTGGCCAAAAGTTAAAATGCAATGGATAAGTGGGTATTTAAGAAACATTTGGTGTGACGTTTTATTAAGCAAACAATATAAGTTTGAAAGTTATTAATGTTCGCCAAGAGATTGGATATTAACGGTTGGTAGGGGAGACTGAGGAGTTGGCAATGGTCCGTTTGAGATAAATCGGTGGCCTGTTGAGAGATATTGACGAAATAATCTTTTTTTTGCAAAAATCGCTCAAATCGAACCCCATCATATTCGGTCCGACATACGGACCTGGTTTACCAACAGCAGTGTTCTTTTATGTCAACGGTGCAGAATTCTGATCAAATTGTAGACGAATTTTCCAAATTATGAGTCGTCAAATCTAGTCTGCTTTTTTGGGCTACATCTCGCATTCTGAAGTAACAAATAATACATCAAGTAGGAAGGAACATTTTATATCCACAGACTTATTTGAACAGTTTTCAGTCGATTCTAAAAAGTATTATCATGTTTCAGGTCTTCCTCTTCAGATATTTTAAGAAATTCTCACGAACAGTACAAAAATCAACCGGGCAGAATAGAAAACTATACGCCAGGCCACTCGTCTATTTCCGAGAAGGAAGCTAAGGAGGTGAGTTATTTGAACAAGAAATAGATCTTACTTTCTATTTTTAAATAGGCCATCTGCTAGGTGGTCTTAAAAGTATGTTAAAGTATATTTGATGCCAGTCTAAGAAAATAACTGCCAGGTGCACACGTCGAATGCTTATAAGGCTGACTAAGCTGTACTACGGGCAGACAGTGGAGAATTGGAACAGGGCGTGATGACTAATCTCAACGTTTAGTTAAGAAGGATACATATACAGGGTTTTCGGTAAATAGTACGACAAAAATAAAGACGATAGGCGAAGGGCAGATCTATAACATACAAAAAATGACTTTAGTTAAAGTTTCACTGTTTTTGAGGTATCATTTTTTTGTCTTTTTCGAGAAATTCCACCTTTTAATCTATCTTTTGTTGCTGTGCCTAGAAATAACAGAATAACTATTTGGTTTTTTGCAAAAAATTCTCAGATAGTTGGTCTGTCATTTGAAATATCATTTTCGATAAATACAAGTAAAAAAAACTTGACAAACTAATTTCATATTCGTAATTTTTATTTTATAAAACTGTTTTACTCAACTTTGATATTTAGCAATGAAATAAAAATGTACCAGACTACTACTGCAAATTACTGCGATAAATTACCTGCTTAATCAGCAACAAAAGGTGACACTTTTACTTTTTTTTGGTATGTTGTAGATCTGCCTTTCTTCAATCTTCCCTTTTTTTTTTGTCGTACTATTTACCCGACACCCTGTATAAAGTCCGTGACATCGAGCGTCATACAGCCCGAGCATCGAAAGGTCTGCTGTCCCCGAAAACGGTGCGGCGTTTTAGTGATTTTAAAAGCCGGGAGATGTAGGAGCAATATCAAAAAGTTCATTTTGGGAGTAGTATGAAATCACTTTCTGGCAAATTCTGATGAATACGGCCTACGTGGTCTAGAACAGCTGTAGCCAAGAAGGAAGTATCAGCCTCACGAAGCATAACGCCTTCGCTTAAATTTCTCGACGTTTCTTTTTAAGAGCATCTCGCGAACTTCATATTAAGTTTCTACAATAGGTTCGTAATGCTAAACGTCCGTCTTGAAACACACCATGTATTTTGTGTCAATTATTTCCGTTAGAAGTGGACCACCGCCGTGCTAGTTTTCACGAAGTAACTTTCCAAAATTAATATCTCGATATCAGCGTTTGACTATACTATAAGAAAGTACACACCCTCCAGCAATCGCCATAATGTTTTGACAGATTTAGGTCCGTCGTCCATTTTTATTGAACCTCTTATCGCACATGCACCTATAAACACATAACGTTAAAACAGTTTGACAAAAGAGCTTAATATTTTGAAACATAGCAAACTGAGGTGTATGTTTACTGTCAACAACACTCACTAAACGAGGATCTGGAAAGCAATCAGGGGGGAGCAAAGGGATTAACCCTACTATTTCTAATTTAAAAGTTCTTGGAACTATACGTGAGACGGTTAAAAATTGTAAATATTTTTTAGGACACCTTGATGCAAATATTGTCTTTTATATTATTAGTGACAGACTTTTATTCACTGAAGTTGCTTATAGTACACACACAACCTTTCGCTTTGCTTTAAGCAAAGATATAATAGGATTTCAAATTAGAGCAAAAAACCTGTGATACCACACATGATGCTTTCATATCAAGTGATCCGTTATTAATCGCAGCATTTGTTTTTTTTGTAGTGGTGGGATGAAGTCATGGACATCTTTGACGGGGTACGATTTTTTACATAATTATCAAGATTTTCTTTAATTTTCGATTTTTTTCACTATACTAAACGTGAAAAGGCGTGGAAATATTATTTACGTCATGGCTCAGGTTTCAGAAAAGAGACCTACATAATTGCTAGCAAGGATAGGACTAGAGCGTTCCGATGTGGATAAAATCCGCATAAACGACTTATCAAGAACTGGACCAAGAACAACTTTGTAATAAGAGCTGCAACGTGCAAAAACGCTCATAAAAGGATGAAAACTTGCTTTAAGTTGCAGCATATCATTTAAATTGAGATAAATATAGTTTCAAGCACTCGTGAATATAATTAGCAAAGATACTCGAGGCGTAGAATACGAGACAAGCCCTATTGTGCCTAACGTGTCGAGGATAGAGTCCGTTGAATATAGTGCTGAGTAAACGAGGAGTTATAATAGATCTATAGTAACCACAATGATTCTTTAGTGCAATCTAGTATCCTAGTTATGCTGCCTAGAATATTCATGTGGTGTAAATAGTATTTCTCGCGGAAACTACTTTGTTTTCCTTATGTCTTCATCTACTAAACGTAAGGTTTTTTGTACTAACACCTAGTTGTTTTTTGGGAAAGTGGTTGGACGATAACTCAGCTCTACCCAGCTACGACGTCATGTTCGCAAGAGCTCTAGCAAGATCTGTAAGAACCTGGAGCATGATTTACTCCAAATCCCTATTTTTCCACTTCTATGGCTGGAATGTTTTTTTACTCTTGCTCGTCAAGTCTCAAACTCTTTCCGCTTGTTTCGATAATTTGTGAAGTACTTTGATTTTGGTTTTTCCGTAGTAGTTGTAATTATTGCATCCACAGCATCTTTCTTTTTTTGCTTATCTTTGTAATATTTTCCGCTAACTTACATAGCATGCTACACAATTTATTTATACAATAGAGATTGTTTCTTAACGTAAACATTGTGTTTTCTAGCACTTGGAGCAACAAAAACGGGTACCAACGCATCATCAGCAGCCGCATGGATTCATGAGCCAGTAAGTAGGAAAAATAGTGTAACTGCAATGAAATATTTAAAAAAAAAAATTCATGAATAAAAAGTAGCGAAATCTGCCATCCAAACTTCGAACGTAAGATGTCGCATAGGTTACGTAATAATTGTAAGCATAACGTCGCCTCATGTTCTTAGAATGTGGCCCTTTCTGAGATTGCATTTCCCATACAATGTATGTACTTTACTTCGTGTTTTTCCAATACAGGATTGACGTTCAGTTTATAGGGGTCACGTAGAGTAGCCCTTAAGGCTAGACTTTGCCCTTTATACTAATATATTTTTTATAATAGCACAATAGAGACATTTTTGATTGAAAGCAATTGCATATGAAAGTCAAATTCAACCTACCTGAAACAGATTTCTAGCAGATAATATAATGTCCATTATTGTTTGTTTTTGTCAAGTTTATTCGTCTATTCGATAGACTCAAATGGAATCGAAACCTAATTAGGTATGCTCACTTAGGGACTATTCAGACAGAGTATTTCCGAATGAATATTTGCGTCTACAGATCGTCAATAATGGAATACCTATTATGTGAAGCCTGCTTTTTTTAATCGAAATTGTTGGCATGTGTCAAAAGGAAACCAAAACAATTTATTCCATAAAATAAGTATTGCACGTTATGTAGCTATAAGACTGAAATTGATTGGTACTCATTCTAAGTGTTAATAATTTCAATTAATAAACAATCAAATGGAAAGTAAGGTCAGAAAACTAACATCGTAGTAGATACAGTTGACAATATTTTAAAGATCTATGGAGTTTCGCAGAGGATCAAATCCTGGAAGTTCGGAATCGGAATCTGAGCCACTATTTAACCTTAAATATTCGGTTTCGATATCGCTATCTTCGTCTAGATGTATTATTATTTGATCCACAACTAAGTCGAGTGCTAGTTCTATTTCCATATACTGCTTCTCTCGCTCACATCGCTTTTTCCATTCTTCTGTGGGATAAGACGAGAGAAAGTCGACGCAAAGTTTGTCGACAGTCTTGAGATTAAAATTTACATTTCTCTCAGCCACATATTGTTTCAAAAATGTCCATACTAACTCAATTGGGTTCAAGTCGGGGTGATATGGTGGCAATCTCAAAACAGAATGACCTTTTTTTCGGCCATTATTCTGTCTATTTCATAAGTTATATATGCCGGCTTATGCATAAGGCTAGACAAATCAATTTTCAACATGTCGCCAGTGAAATGTATGTTTTTTGCCTTAGCCATTCTTTCATATGATCCTTCTTACAGCACATAGTAAGATATTTGTCTATCTCAATATTGTGGTACGGAGCGTTGTCTATTTTTTATAGATACTATAGTTCATCTCACTATGATAATCACCCGACTTACTATTGGATTTAAATTTCAGATATGCATTTTCCACGAAACCATTTTCACTACCAGCATGCACAATAATAAATCTTTGTCCTTTTGAAACTGGCCTGTGAAGCCCCTCATTGATATTATCGATCTTTTCATGCGTACGTGACGTATGGATGTACCATAATGTTTCGTCCATGTAAATTATAGGCCGATTTTTTTTTCTATATTCTTTCATCCTTCTCAGAATATTTCTCCTGAGATGCTGAATCTCTGGTTTCTCCATAAGAAGTCTTCTATTAGTTCTTGCCTTCCTCAAACGAAATCCCATTGTCCTCATCACTTTCCTTAAAGTTTCATGTGATCCAGTGTAATTGTGTTCTTGAACAAGTTTCCTGTGTGTGCGCAGCAAAGTTGGAACCTTCTTTTCCGTTATGTAGAAATTCGTTATAGATCGAAGAAGCAATCCTCTATCAAAGTCGTCGAAATCAGATTCTGGTGTGGCTCTTCGTCTTTTTTTTGTTTGGTGTCGAAAAAGATGGCGAAGCACCTTCTTCAACAGATTTTATTTCGCGAGAAATCCTCACGTGGCTATGGCTGCACGCTCCTGAACTTTCTTCAACTCTTTAAGAGGTTTATTTCCTTCTGCTTCTCGATGCATAAAGAATATAATATTTGCTACAACCTCCCTAGTTTGTCCTGATAAAACTTTACGTTGTAACGAGTAAATCGCTTAGCACACCAAGGAATAAATGGCGACAATTAATCGCGTAAAATTGTATGTATTCAACCCACGAATTCGTAACAATACATATAATTCACAGATAATAAGTAATAAAGATGTCTCACTGCCTGACAATTTTTCTCCTGACTGTACGCTAACTAGTCTAGACACGACAAGAGACTACTGCACGAGAAGGCGTGACATTATTCAAAAATTCGCATCTCTTCCTACACTTGACGAGCTGTACCTTCATTTGTAAATAGGAAAATAAAAATACTAATTTCTTTTCAACAGTAAAAGTATGGAAAATATGTATGACTATTATGCCTAACAGATGCGTAATACTATTGGGAGCAAAATGTAGGAGTTTCCAAAACAAAGCTTGAGCGATTTCCAAAACCAAGAAATGTCTTTCCTCATTGACATATTGGTAATTTTGTGTCGAAATTCCATCAAAACACGAGCAATGCTGCGGGCGCCCATATCTAATGCCTGGAATCCACAATCCCTAGAGTCGCGTTTTTTTTAAGTAGAAATTGACTTGTCGAATATGTCTAAACGGTGCGCAGAATTACAGGTGTTAAAAGCATATGAATATGCTAACGCCAAAAATTTATGTATCTGGTATACCCTACCACAGAATCTGACGAGCATCTGGGTTGACACAGACACATCCAAGTCTACAGGGTGTTTCAGAACTAAGGGATCAAACTGCTAGGGGTTATTCAGTGTAACAGTAGAAAACATTTGAGTATAGGGACCCATTTTTCCTGTAAATTTCCAACTGTAGTGAAGTTTAGTGTTAAAAACTTAAAGTAAAAACACATGTTAATTTATACATTTATTAATTGAATTTAAATTAAAACTACTCAAAATAAAATTTTGTATTGGTTATGTAAAATATACGTAACATTAAATAAACAGGTGTCTGACCAATAAGTGCCCGCATTGAAAAAAAAAATAAGGGATAAAATAAAAAAAAGTGAAAAATAATAAAAAAAAAGTGTTTTACTTAAAATAGTACAATAAGCGAGTTCGTTTATTAATTATAACATAAACGTATGTTCTACAATAATTTCACTGTTAGTTTGATTAAATTCCGCTTCTTATACCTTTAAGTTATCTAAAAATAGGCAAAAAATTAACGAATTTTAGTGTGTACCTATCCTTGAATTTTCAGAATAATTTAAAAAAAAAATATTTTCTATAAAGGGGGGTTTTTTAAAAAAATCAATGCGGGCACTTATTCCCAATGCGGGCATTTATTGGTCAGACACCAATAGACATAAAATAAACTATAAATAAAATAACGTAAGCAATAAGTCAATATTTTTAGTGAGAAGGATGAACCTGATGCTTTAATAATAAATTATCAACATCTGGCGTCAATTTTGTAAGGGTTAATCTTAAATCTCGTCGGCTAATGATGACTGTTTCTTTTTTTCGTTAGGAGATTGGTAACAGCGCTAAACCCCCTTTCCACTAGGTATGACGATGGAAAGGAAATTAAAAATGTCCTCGCTATATTCCATAATACGGGATAAGTAACGGGTATGTTGTTTTGCAGCCAGAATTGCTGATATCCGTTTTTAAACTGAACCTTAAGTTCTTCGTTTGTACTTAGCTCAGTCAGTTCCTCTTGTATTATGACATTCGTTTCTTCTATGTCACCATATGGATCAATTATTCACGGTGGTATTACCATAGTCAAAATATCCTCAAACCTAGATTCAAAATCTGAATAGAAGGCACTTAAATGTTGAACGTAAGTTGAAACGTCGTTTTCCTGGCAGCTTGTCTGTGACAAATTGGGGAACTGAGAAAATTCGCCCCGTCCAATATTTTGCTTCATTAGTTTAAGTATGGCAAGAAACGCTGATAAGATGGACTTTGTTCTAATGAAATTTAAACTGTCGCCTTGTAATTGCAAATTAATCATATTAAATTTTGTAAACAAATCTGTTAAATAGGCGATGTCTGTTTTCCTCTTCATTAAATTTTCTTTTAAAATTTTATCTTTAGTATCGAGAAATTCTGCAAAAAATCTTGTCAAACATAACCCTTTGGACAGCCAGCGTACTTCAGTGTGAAGGAATAATTGATGAAAGTGTTCGTCATTTTCTTCACACAACGCGTTGCTTCGAATTCAGTTTACTGCATCAATGACTAAATGAAGTGATTCATGCAATCTAACACTCAATTTTTTAGCAACTAAATGTTGTCGATGGATGACGCAATGTATTGCTAACACCCCTGACACATTTTGTTTTAAATAGCTTATAAATCCACGATAACGTCCAACCATGGCAGGTGCTCCATCTGTAGCTACTGATATTATATTTGATAAAGGAATTGCTTTTTCAATAAAGTAATCCTTCAAAACATGAAATATTGATTCTCCTTTAGTGTCGGTTATCAAAGTTCTTGCGAAGAGCAGTTCTTCGTAGATTTCTTGATTCATAATAAAACGAACATATGCCAATAATAATGCTGCATTATCAGGTAAAGTTGACTCGTCCGGTTGTATAGAGAAATGGGTCGTTTGCAAATAATTACATAAGAAACTTTCAATATCAGAACTCATTTCATCAATACGTCTTTCAACAGTATTGTTGCTTAAGGGAATTCTTTTAATGATATCAGATGAAGGTTTGTGTAAAACAGTTTTTAAAACCTCTTCAACGGCTGGCAAAATTAACTTCTCTCCGGTTTTCCGGATTTTGCTATAAGTAACGAGATATTGTAAGACGCCCCATCATTTCTTTGTGACGTCGAAGCGAACATTTTGTCTAGTGTAGGTCTCTTCTGAAATTTATCTTTGAGTGTATTTCAAATCTTTCTCTGTTTAATCAGGGTGGCATCTTCTCAGATGATCTTGCAGTTTAGATGGTTTCATAGCGTCATTGCCCAAAACTTTGTTGCATAAAAGGCACATAGGCGATTGTTTGTCCGGCAATGATGGAATGAAGCCAAATTTCAAATAATCAACACTGTACTGTCTACATTTCTTTTTAGATTCGGACATGGCATCAGTCATCTGTGGGCAAAATTAAATTATTTAAATAAGACAGAAAATCCAGCAGCTGTATATTAAAAATATTTTTGCGAAAACATTCCATAATTCGATCATCTTCTTGCAACAATTAGCTCGAATTACGGAGATTGCACTGTAATTATATTACCGATTGCCAAAACTTTCAAAAAGAAACTATTGAGGAGTACTCGTGTAATTTTGCATGATTGAATATTTAACTACTAATAACTAAAGTCATGATCGGCGTAATTTATCTGTCTTTGCTAACTACGAGTACAAAACTAAAATTTAATATAAAATAATGTACTTACTTTTCTCCAGCACTCTCAAACAAAATAACACTGACTCACTATCATTTGTGTGATATACTATCTGTTTATATTTTTTAAAATATTTTCTTAGCACTTTCCTTTTCAAGATTCAGGAAACGAATAAACGTATTTGTCCCACATTCGTATTTATAGAGTGACGAATTGAACAAGTCAGTGCAAGGTAGCGAAGCTCTGAGATTGCGACTCTCAGGTTTTTACAAGTTCAAAATGTATTGCGACCACAAAGCGAATATCAACATTCTACAACTTACACAATCTTATATACATATATATTAAATTTTTACTTCATAGGTACTTTTATAAATAATGTATATGTTTTGATATTATAAGATAGTATGATGTAAGTAAATAGGTACTATCAGTGTATGTGTTGAGATCCACTATCGTGGACCCCCATATTCATTTCATTCAAAGTTTATTCAAAGTTTATTCAAATTCAAAATCCAATATAACTTACAAATTAAAAAACAACCTTCAGTACAATTTAAATAAAAAAAACTTCAAAAATACATGAGCTTGTATGGACCCCCAAATTTTTTTTCGCTGACGTAGACCCCTTGCAGGTTATCATAGACCCCTAGGGCTCGATATAGACCACTTTGGGAATCAATGCTCTAAGGCGTGTTAAAATTTAGAAAGACGATGAATTGCCTAAATAGGATTTAATGCATTTAATTTTCGCCTTGTGTATGTACATGATATCATCAGAACAATTGTTCAAAATGTCTTCCTCCAACTTGAATACACCAATTTAAACGTCGCACATGATTTCCACGGACTTGACTAAAAATTTGATACTCGTTTTAAATGATTTCAAATGCTAGTGTAATTCGTCCAATTAAGACTTGCTCTGTTTCTACTGGAGTTTCGTAAACCAAAGACTTTACATGTCCTCACAGGAAAAAATCCAGCGACGTCAAATCGGGTGACCCAGGAGGCCAAAAAGCTGCTCCACCTCTGGCAATCCAACGGTGCCCAAACCGCTGAGCCAAATACTCACGTACTTGTACAGCAAAGTGAGCCAGCGCTCCATCATGCTGAAACCACATTTGCAACAGTCTCTGTTATCGTTTTTAAAGATAACAACACACAAGCGCCTGTGCTCAAATGTTTTCTACTGTTACACTGAATAACCCCTACAAGTTTGATCCCATAGTTCTGAAACACCCTGTTTAGTAGGTTGATATATGTTTGAAATGATGCTTTCCATTTTCCAGAGCATTTAAAGAATCTGGCTATGAAAGCGATTCAACGCTAGTCTTCCGAAGACGCGAAGAAGCCCAGCAACTGAACCCCAGGGAGCAACGAGAAGCCTACAAGACCATCCAAAAAGGGGGCGATGTTCCGCTATACGGCCTACGAAAACCTGCCCCAGAAAGACCTAAAGGTACGATTACACCTAGTGCGCTCCTACTAAAATAAGTATGTGTATTGCTCTAAACTAGTTTGGGGGTGGTGGCTGAAACTGACTCTGCTTAAGTACGCTGAAATTGCTTTATAAGAAACTCGTTGGGAATAGGAGAACTGGGATGTTAACTACCGGATGAAAAGCCCAATGTTTAACCAAAACTCTATATTTTCTACTGATTTCATAATGCGGAACAAAATTGTAAACTAATGGTCTGAGTGGCTTCCATTTTAATTTTGCGTCACGCTAGTCTTGAATGCTGAAGTTCAAATCAGCATTGTATATTTGAGTAAGCTGCAACTACTGTTTCATGTGAGAAAGAATTCTGTTTATAACACCATATTACCAAAACTCACGTTAATTCTGCAAGTAATCCTTAATTACTTCGAATAGGAAATGGAGGAAAATAGGAAAATGATTTTCAAATATGCAAGAGTATCCCGGCCTCCAGTGGTCCAAGTCTCGTGAACTGTGGTCAAATATACTGTTTATACCTCGATCTCTTTCAAAATCTCATTTCTGCCATCACTAAAGTAGTATTTTTTATTTAAAATAAGTAATAACCAAAAATAAATGATATGCGCGTACCTATTTCCAGTTAATTGGATATCCTTTTTGGCTGTAAATAAAGGAAATATTGCATACAATATACAATCAATACCGCGCTGTTAGTAGACCTAAGACTGAGCTAGAATCAAGTGTAACCTTCAAAAGAAATATTCGCCATACAATCACTTTTACAATCTGAGGACAGTTAAGTGGAGGGGTAGATGTGAAGTTTATGCAAAACCAATGATTTTGGCTCTTATATGATTATACAAACACGTTTAGGTTGTGATTTTCAATATAAAGGGTAACTCGAAACGTCAGAACAGAGATAAAAAGAAAACGGGGTAATTTGTCTTAAGTAATGTAATCCTCATTTTTTCCTCTGATGGGGAAACCCCAATAATGTATCAAGGAGTTATTCTGTACTTTTGCATATGCAGAAGATCTAGATCGCAATAAAGCATATCTAATAGCACATGAAGAACGTAGCAAAAAGCTTCATTTACAACTTTAAGATTCGATAGAACTTTTAAAATTAATGCATAAAGTCTATATAAACATGGGTCGAAAAATGCGTGGCTTCCGAAATACAGGGTGTTTAAATTTACTTTCTAAAATAGTTTTTTTTTAAATATTTCGAACAATATTTAATGTATAACAGTGTAAATTGGTATACAAGGGTTTTTTGGTACGACAAAACGAACCATGGGCATAGTTTTACTGTATCCGCTAGAGGGCGCTCTCTACTGTACCTGTAGTGTATTAAAATGATCGAAAAAATTTTCTTAGTGCAATTTTTTGCTTTTTGAATAAAAAAACTGATTCTTCGCACTTTTGTGCATAAAGAAGTTCTCCTGTGAGTTTTCGTTATAGTTAGCCATTTTTGAGATATTTCAATTTTTAAGGTTCAATGCAGTTTTATTATTTATGGGAAAATAATATTTTTTTTTACATTTTCGATTTGAGCATTACACGTAATTAAGATGATCGTTTAGATTGTGTTTTTAAACACAGCAATAATTCCTAACTCCAAATAAACACAAAAAACAGAATATTAATTTGTTTAATTTTCCAATATTATTTTTAACAAATTAAATTAATTATTAACTAAAATGCTATTGGATAGTTAGGAGAAACATACAAAATCTAAAGTAGTTGCTCGAAATGTAAACCCAATTGTTCAATACACAATTCACATCTACGAATGATCGAACGTGGTATAGCATTATTCAAATAAGGCCTTATTTCATCACATGCATTCCTCATTCTGTCTATTAGCATATCTCTTGTGGTTACGGGAGTCTGGTTTAGAAATCCCCACACAAAGAAATCTAATGGATTTAGGTCAGGGGATCGTGGAGGCCAGGCGACTGGTTCTCCACGGCCGATCTATCTTTCTGGATAATTTTCGTCCAGCCAGTTTCTAACTATTCTCGAATAATGAGCTGGGCAACCATCAAGCTGGAACCAGGCCAATCTTCTTAAATCTAACTTAAAAGTTCCAAGAAGGTCGCAGCATTTAACCTTGCAGGCAAAAGGTAGTGTCCAAAGTCGATTACGGTAGATACCAATCCACACGTTCACACTAAATTCATGCTGAAAATTTCTTTTCCGAACTGCATGCGGATTTTCATGCGACCAAATATGTTGATTATGAAAATTTACCACTCCACGTCTAGTGAAGCATGACTCATCGGTTCATAAAACGTTATTTAAAAACTCCCTATTATTATCAGCTCTATCAAGAATCCACTGACAAAATGTGATTCTTCGTTCTCCGTCCCCTGGCTGTAGTCCTTGCATTGTAAGGACGTCTATGGTCATTTCTAAGAACACGGTGAACATGGCTTGCTGAAATTCCCAAGGCACCAGAAACTCTCCTAACACTTGTTGTCGGATCTCTATCAAACTCACGCAGGGTAAATCTGCGCTGACGAACATTTATGTTTTGATCCCTTTGGAGATTTCCAAAACCATTTTCAATTATTTGGCGATGCACTCTTACAAATACTGAGCGAGTTGGATGTCGTCTGTTTGGAAATCTTCGTGCGTATTCTCTGGCTGCTTCTGCTGCGTTTCCATTTACAAAGCCATACACAAAATGAATATCCGCTAACTCTTGATTGGAGAATAAAAATGGCATTTTTATAAAACTTCCAAAAAAAAAGCAGGTAAGGGAAACTAAATTTCGTGCATTCACAAGAGCAAAAAAACGTTTCAGGTTTCAACAGACAACAAAACTAACTGTCAACTAATTGACGTTTAACCTTATTCTGCTTTCAATTTCAAAAATATTTGCAGGCACAGCCTACTTCTAAAAATTATCGAGGTACTGACTTTTTAACGTTATTTTATCATAAATAATTAAAAATGCATCGAACCTTAAAAATCGAAATATCTCAAAAACTGCTAACTATAATGAAAACTCACAAGAGAGCTTTTTTATGCAGAAAAGTGCGAAGAATCAGTTTTTTTATTGAAAAAGCAAAAAATTGCACTAAGAAAATTTTTTCGGTCATTTTAATACACTACAGGTACAGTAGAGAGCGCCCTCTAGCGGCTACAGTAAAACTATGCCCATGGTTCGTTTTGTCGTACCAAAAAACCCTTGTATTCCAATTTTAACTGTTATACATCAAATATTGTTCGAAATATTTAAAAAAAACTATTTTAGAAAGTAAATTTAAACACCCTGTATTTCGGAAGCCACGCATTTTTCGACCCATGTTTATATAGACTGCATTGATTTTAAAAGTTCTCTCGAATCTTAAAGTTATGCAACAATAAACTGAAACACCCTGTATAATATAGAGTGAGTTATAAATGAAGCTTTTTGCTACGTTCTTCATGTGCTATTAGATATGCTTTATTGCGATCTAGATCTTCTGCGTATGCAAAAGTACAGAATAACTCCTTGATGCATTATTGGGGTTTCCCCATCAGAGGAAAAAATGAGGATTACATTACTTAAGACAAATTACCCCGTTTTCTTTTTATCTCTTTTCTGTGTTATGCAACAATAAACTGAAACACCCTGTATATTTTTTGTTCTCACTCTATTCTTGAGTTATCCATAAATTCGTTACTCATTGTTTAGTCTTTTTATTCAGCTACTGGATAACCGCAATGCCTTAAGACGTCATGATATTGGTAGGCGCATCTATAAAGTAGACACTGCAAATATCTGCCAATTGGTCCTGTATGAATCAAGTGTCTCGTAAAGATTAATTGAATTTCAAAGATGCGTTGAATATTGAGCACTATAATAATTCCAAACTATCATTCTAACATATCGGTTTTCATAGCGAGATAACCGAACTTTAAATCTGAACAAAAGGATCCATAAGTTATGTGGCTTTCCTTTTCGTGTCATCAAAAAACAAATTAATATTAATTTATGCTTTCGGTGACTTTTGGCCCTGCTAACTCTGATCCATACACAGAAATTTGACTTAGATGTTATTCCGAAAATATGTGCTTGACCGCTATTTACGAGATTTGGACCACTGTGTGGCATATTGCCTGTTCGAATATAACAAGAAAGTCGGTTTCGCAAACTCTTGTCTAATTTTTTAATTTACTTCTCAAATTTGAAGATTTTTGAACATTTTTTTGGAACTGCTGCGATGTAATTTAATTGTTATATAAACACGCAATTCTTCAATCTTCAATTTCAAACAATGAGTCAATAAATCAAAATGTTGTAGTTTTTTATTATTAAAGGTTAAGTGACTATTATAACATAAAGTAAACAATTCTATAACATACCTACTAACATTAGGGCGCTCAATCCTGGTGGTGGATTTCTACTAAAAAGGTTGGTTACTTTCTGGCTTATTAATAGTATTACTAGTAGTTTCTGTTGTGTATATAGCTAAGATGCTTTCAATTTACTCACTGAAAGGTACCATCAATGCATGCAGTTTGCGATCCTCAGAAAGATATTTTGAACAGTTTCCTACACTTTTGCAAAGTGCATAGTGAATTTCTAAAATGTACGTGAATCTATCTGAACGCGTGTCTTATCAAAATAACTTCACATATTATACCCATCTAGATGCGTTGGTCATTACTGAGTTAGTCAAAACAAGTAAATACCTTCGTAATCTAAACATTCATAGATTCATTACGCATTCTATACACAAAAACACACAACGACACGCCTTTTCCTCTAGATCACCGAAGCACCCCATAATCGAAAATCCTCTATCTAAACATATACATTTCTCTCGCAGAAACCGAGCTCCTGGAATATATTCCCATATCTCCTACCTTAACCCGTATCCGAATACACAAAAAAATTACACCTCAAAAAGAAATAATTTGCTACCCTGTTACCGTTCATCACCAGCCCCCAAATACATTTTCCACCTATAAGAGGGCAGCGCCATCTAGTGTGACGTGTTCGAGAGTGCCTACTCCTCCTCCTA